CCAACAATTATTCTCACACCCTCGAGTGAGGTTTCTCACTCCCCCTCTTACCTGGATAAGTAGAAGACAAAGCTAGAGCGAAATCTGGTTGATCTCCCTCTCTTGGTTCTCCTTGGTCTTTAGAGAGTGTGTCTAGAAGTAGTGTTAGAGTCTACTATTTATAGATGTCAGAAGTGGCCAGAATGGCCCGTTTCGAATCCAGAACAGCCCCTTCTGGATCCTTTTATCATGTGTTAAATTCACATCTGGAACGGCCCGTTCTTAAACAAGAATGACCCGTTCTTAAACCAGAACGGCCCGTTCTAGAGTTGAGTTTAACTCATAACGGCCATGTTTGGAACGACCCATTCTCAACTAGGGTTTTAGACCTTTTTAGTAGTTTGGAACGACCCGTTCTAGTTTGGGAACGGCTCTTTCCAGTTTTGGGAACGACCCGTTCCATTTTGGGAACGGCCCGTTCTAGGCTACTAAAACACCCTTATTAGGCTTTGGACCTTCTGATGTCATATCATGTTGTTTCTATGCTTTGGGAGCTTCTTTTCTTTGATAATAGAAGTCCATTCCCTTAATCTAAGGTATGAAAACTGGGTGTTACACTTCCATTAAGCACTCTAATTTAGAGTCGTCTTTGAATATAACACTCTGTCTTTTCATTCTTACTAGGTGGCACAACAAAGGTAAAGTCCTCAGGTCATCTTGGGTTTGCTTCCACCCATAAGGTGTTTATGCTCAAGAGTATGGCTTTGATTACAAAGACTTTAAGTGACACTTGAGCAACTTCATTGGTTAGTTTGGGGGTCTCTTTAATAAGCAACGAGACAACTTCTACTCCTACAATAGTTGCTCTAGAAGATGAGGGTTGGAATGATGGGGTGGCTTCAGCAATTGCTTCATTAGCTAGAGTCTTAACCTTAGACACTCTTATCTCAATTGGACGAAGACTTTCTTCTACGTCAAACTTTCCAATCTGCGTAGGAGGAATACTCTCCTCAACAATAGGCACCTCTGTTTATGTTGGTATAAGACTTTGGTCAATAATAGATTTTCCTGTAAAGAAAGGATTGATAGTTGTTACTGCTATTTGAGTAGAGAGACAATAGGTTTCTTCCAGTAATTTGGCTTCTTTAATTACCAGCTCAAAATCTTTCTTTTTTTATTCTTTTGCCTCCATTTGAGATATATGCTTGGTGCACTTGAAGCGTTTCTACTCTTTTTTCTTAATCTTGGTGTCGGGAAGTCCACACACAATGCTTGCATTAAATGCGTTTCACCAAAATGTCATTTCTTATCTGATTAAGGAAGCTACTTATCACCTTTTAGGTACCAAAAGAGAGGAACCATGCGTGTGTTAGTCTGAAACAACTTTTATTGTAGTTTTCGATGCTTTACGATATATGCTAGTCCTTTTTTCTGAAGAAAAGCATGTCTTTAGTTTCTTTAGTGAATTGTTAGTACTAAAGAAGCTTTTTCAATTCAATCTATTAAGGAGTCATGTGAACAAATATGATTTTGTTATCAAACATCATAAATGATATAATTTAAGAGCATTTTATCTTATAGATGAAGTATTTCATTTGTGAAACTTGATGTCAATATAACCTATCGTCTTATATCAAAATCATCTTAATGATTAATCTTAAAACTTTTCTCTAGAAAAATATCTATGTTTGTTATCATTAAAATTAAAGACCTAAGGGATTTAAGATCGTCTTTTGACCTAACAGATAGATATAATTAAGAAAGAAATAAAAGGAAAGATATTATTGAACAAAATGATAGAAATAAAATGACAAAATACCAACCACTATTGCTTCTTCAAGAGATATAAGTCCACTTATATCTTTTTTCTACTTTATATCGATGATGTGTTAATAGTTGGTTTAGATATGGATGAGATCAGAAGCTTGAAGCAATAACTGTCAAAAGAATTTGACATAAAGGACTTGGGTCCAACAAAAAGGATCCTTGGAATGCAAATCACAAGAGATAAGAAAAAAGTTTTTTTTTTGCAATTATCTCAAGCAAAGTACATTAACCATGTTTTTTTTACAAAGATTCAATAGGTTGATGCCAAGTTGGTTATAACACCTTTGGTCATTCATTTTTTGTTATCCAAGGATCAGTCCCCTTAGACAGAGGATGAAAAAGAGTTTATGGCTAAGATTTTGTATGCTTCAACCATCAAAAGTTTGATGTACAAGATGGTTCGTATGAGGTCAAACATTGACCATGCAATGGGAGTTGTTAGTAGGTATATGTCAAATTTAGGTAAAGCTCATTAGGAAGCAGAAATGTGGATTGTGAGGTATTTACAAACAAAGAAGTGCTCATACATTAGTAAAAGAGAATTAAAAGTACAAGGCTACATAGCTGCAAAATTTGGAGGTGATGTCGTTCACTAAAAAAGTGTCACTGGTTACATTTAAATTGTTGGTACTACAATTGTTAGTTGGATCTCACAAAAACATAAGATTGTTATTTTATCCACTATAGAGGTTGAGTATATAACAGTAACAGAAGTCAATAAAGAATTGATACGACTTCATGGATTATTAACAATGTTGGGATTCATCTAGGAAAATAGTGTTTTGCATAGTGATAATTAGAGTGCGATCCATTTGCCAAAAAATTCAACATTTCATTTTAGAGCAAAGTACATTGGTCTCAATTATCACTTCATTATATCTTTGTTGAGGATGAGGTGTTAACATTGAGAAAGATTTTAGAAAGTAAGAACCCAACAGACATGTTGACAAAAATAGTAACCATCAACAAACTAAAGTTGTGTTCAACTTCAGTTGGCCTACTAGAATAACAGACAAGATAAGGTTGTTGTATTGTTTGAGATGTGAAACATATTGAAATCAATCTTCAAGTTGAAGATTGTTGGACTTGGTTAAGCAAAGCAAAAATTCATGAAAGCACATATTCCTTTGTTGAGTAAAAATAGAAAAATCAATAGAATTAAATAAATGCATGAAGAATAGGAAAATAAAATGAGAGGAATAGACGTTTTGCATGCATGTTTAAAAAGCACCATTCTATAACAACGAAATATAATTCAATCTAAGAGAAAGAGAAAAGAAAAATTTAGAAAATAACATTTTTATTTTTTTGGTGTATTTGGATTGTAAATTTAATGTTTGTAAACATTTTTTATTTTTCCCTTTTCAATAATATATATGCAACAAGTCAGAAACATACACAATTCATCAAATTCCATTATCAATTTTTGTGTGATATTATTTCACATGTATTTTGTTTGTCACAATTATAAATTTTTTTGCATATTTTTCCAATAGTGTTCAATTTTTTTATTGTTTGTCTTTAATTATTATTAGAGGTAGATAAATTAAAGATATAAATAAGATTTATAAATGTTCCTTATTATATTACATATGATATATCAATATAGTTATTAAATTTTTTTAATATAAAACATGTTGGTATAATTTTTTACTAATTAAATTTTATTGTTAAAATAATTTACCAATAAATAAAAATAATTTTTGTTATAATACAATTTATTTATCAAAAATTTAAAATATAATTTATATGCTTAAAAATATTTATATATATTAATTTTAAATATAATTCATATATTCAAATATAATATTTATTTATATATAATTTATTATGAATTTTAATTATATTTCAAACTTTTGATAAATAAATTGTATTATAACAAAAATTATTTTTATTTATTGATAAATTATTTTAACACAATAAAATTTAATTAGTAAATAATTATGATAAATAAAAAGTGAATTAGATAAGAAGTTAAAAAAATTATACAAACCCTTTTGTTAAAAAAAATTCCTAAAAATACTCTCATGGAAGATAGAGATTCGTGTTTAAATTTTAATATATACAAGGATTTGATTATTTATTGGTAAACTATTTTAAAATATTAAAATTTAATTAATAAATAATTATGACAAATAAAAACTTAATTAAATAAGAAGTTAAAAAAATCTCTACAAACTCTCTTATTGAAGAAAAATTCCTAAAAACACTCTTGTATAAAATATAGTTTCATGTTAAGTATATAAGGGTTGATTTGTATTTTAGCATGTGTAATGCACAAGTATTTTATTATTATATAATTAAAATTTATAATAAATTATATATATATATATGTATATAAATATTATATTAGAAAATATAAATTATATTTAAAATTTGTATAAATAAATATTTTAAAAATATAAATCATTTTATATTTATGATAAATAATTGATATTGTAGTATAATATTATTTGTGTTTATTGATAATTTATTTTAAAAATATTAAATTTAATTCATAAATAATTACGATAAATAAAAATTGAACTAAATAAAAAGTTAAAAAAAAATCTAAAAACATTCTTGAAAAACTCTTAAAAGAACTTTCGTATTTGGTATATTACCTGAATTACTCACTTAAAATTAAAAATAATAACTATATTGAGATGAGATATATCTCAGAATGTTTTTGAGCTAAGCAACAGACTGAAAAATAAAAACCTTATTGAGATAAGATGAATTTTGTCGAGCTAAACAACTGACTAAAAAATAATAACTATCTTGAGATGGTATTTGAGATCTTCATGTAAAACTGTTGTTTAATTTCAAAAAATCAGTATTTTATTTTTCACTATAAATAGATTGAGGTCATACTTCTATGTTATCACTGCTAGTTTTTACTCTTTTTCCAAGAGCACAGAAATGACGGGTCGTCTTGCATTTTTCTTGTTAAGTTTGACATTGATTAACTTAGCAATCACTGCTACTAAGGTTTCATATGATTCAAGGGCAATTACAATTGATGGCAAAAGAAGATTGTTATTTTCCGGTTCCATTCATTATCCTCGTAGCACCACTGGAGTAAGTGTTACTATATATGTGACATTTTCACGTTATTTCATTCATCTAACAATTATTTATGACTACATTATAATGTGCATATAAAATAAACCCATTTAATCATAGTTTTATTAATTCTCTATTATTTATGGCAGATGTGGCCATCTTTGATTAAGAAAGCAAAAGAAGGTGGACTCAACACAATTGAAACATACGTTTTCTGGAATGCTCATGAGCCTCAGCCTCGACAGGTTTTTTTATTTTAATTTTCTTGTTCATAATTATATATATATTTTATATTTCGTTTTTGGCATTGATTTTGTTTCCTCTCTCTATATTTTCAGTATGATTTTTCTGGCAATCTGGATCTTGTCAAATTTATTAAAACCATTCAAAAGGAAGGGCTTTATGCCGTGCTTCGAATTGGTCCATATGTATGTGCTGAATGGAATTATGGGTAAGAAATATTAAAACAAATATTTTCATTTTTTTTTCTTTTGTAAATAAAGAAATGGTTATAATTTACCAACCATGTGTTTGCTTTAATTAATTTGATTGACTGATTTACTTTTGTGTGTGATCAGAGGATTTCCTGTATGGTTGCATAATATGCCAAACATGGAATTTAGGACCAACAACACTGCTTACATGGTAAGTCACTATAATTTGATGTGTTTATTTTGATTAAACTCTTTACCTATGGAATTCCAGTTTAATAAATCTCGTTTAGAATTTTAAATTTAAAGGTTAAGTAATAACCATTTATTTTTTGTTTTATATAACAAATACTTAGTTTTTAATAAATGATTTTTATTTTTATTTCTCAATATGTACTCTTAGAATTTCTATTTGATTTTGGTATACAAATTAACCGGGACAAGAATCAAAATTTGACTACAGAATGAGATGCAAACCTTCACGACTTTGATAGTGGAAAAGATGAAGCATGCAAATCTTTTTGCTTCACAAGGAGGACCCATTATTCTAGCTCAGGTTTAGTTTTGTAACTCTCTCTAATTTATTATGTTTATGATTGCATTTATGGTCTAACTATTCTACCATCTATATATTTTGATGCAGATTGAAAATGAGTACGGAAACATTATGAGTGCATATGGAGAAGATGGAAAAGAATATGTGAAATGGTGTGCTCAACTAGCTGAATCTTACAAAATTGGTGTGCCTTGGATTATGTGTCAACAGAGTAATGCCCCAGATCCTATGGTAATCTTTAGTGAAAATTAAAAGTTTTATGTTCATAAATTTGAATGATATCATTATTATTATTAATGTGCCGTTTTTTTTTTTTTTGCCTTAGATTAACACATGTAATGGTTGGTACTGTGACCAATTTAAACCTAACAGCAAAAACAAACCAAAGATGTGGACTGAGAATTGGACTGGCTGGTTAGTGATTATATTTCCTTTAATTTTCGGTTCATATTTTTCTTTTTTGTGCTTAATTTTTATTCATATTTTTATATGAAAATTTTGCAACTAAACAATATAATTCTTGCAATTAGGTTTAAGAATTGGGGAGGACAAATTCCGCATAGAACTGCCCAGGATGTTGCATTTGCTGTTGCACGATTTTACCAGTTTGGTGGCACCTTCCAAAACTACTATATGGTAACTTGATTATTAGTATATTAGTGTATAGATCTTGAACATTAATTACAAATCATCTTTATGATTAAAGTTGTGCATTCTATTTTTTCATAACAGTACCATGGAGGTACCAATTTTGGACGAACATCAGGGGGACCATATATTACCACTTCATATGACTATGATGCTCCTTTGGATGAATTCGGTAGGGCATAGCAAAATATTTTTCTATTTAATGAAAAAGTTTTTTCTCAGCTATTTTTTTTTATTAATTTGTTAATACAATATTTTTTGTTTATGTTAGGTAACTTAAATCAACCTAAGTGGGGACATCTTAAACAACTTCATGAGGTTCTAAAATCAATGGAAGAAGTCTTGACTCATGGTACCTCAAACAATACTCACTACGGAAACATGATGACAGTAAGATATATATATATTTTTTATTATCTTATATATTATATTCTTTGCTGTTTGAATTATTTGGTTGCAATTAATTTCCATATATTGATTATATTTTTACAGGCCACAGCTTACCGTTATAATGGAAAATCAGTTTGCTTCCTCGGAAATGCAAACGCAACAAGCGATGCAACAATTATGTTCCAAAGCACTCAGTACACTGTTCCTGCATGGTCTGTGTCTATCCTTAAGGATTGTACTACAGAAGTTTACAACACAGCAAAGGTGAGAATGATTATTCTTATAATGATTTGTTAAAAAAAAATATTGTTGTTTTGTTTTATACTATTATATGTACTAACTAGTTAAATAATATGAAATCAGGTGAATGTTCAGACGTCCATAATGGCCATGAAAGACGATGAAGCAGATAATAAAGATGATGAGCCTACCTCATTGAATTGGCAATGGATGCATGAGCCCCATGTGCAAATGAAAGATGGCCAAGTTCTTGGTTCTGTTTCTACTAAGGCTCCTAAACTTATGGATCAAAAGGTTGTCACAAATGATACTAGTGATTACTTATGGTACATCACCAGGTAATAATTTATTTTTGGTTTCTCAAAAATTGCATTAATTAGTTCCTTCTAAGTTCTAATCTGTGTGACAAAAACTTTCCTCAGTGTTGACATTAGTAAAAACGACCCTATTTGGTCCAATGATATTAAGCTAAGAGTGAAAACCCATGGGCATGTACTTCATGTATTTGTCAATGGAGGACAAGCAGGTATGTCATGACTGTAAAATTTCTCACCGCTTCACATTTTTATAGTCCAAAGAAGTTTCCAAATTGAAGTCATATATTTTTCCTCTCTTGCATGTACCTCCCAGGATACCAATATGCTCAACATGGAAAATACTCATTCACCTATGAGGCAAAGATCAAATTGAAGCAAGGGAAGAATGAAATAAGTCTACTCAGTGGCACTGTTGGTTTGCCTGTAAGTAACAACAAAAACACACTTCATATTGACGTTAGATGTTTGTTTGGATTCAATCACAGAAGTGTTTTTGAGAGTTTTTCTATCAAAAATAAAAAGTTTTTTCTAATAGAAAAATTCTCAAAAGAATTTCTAACTTGTATCCAAACAAACTCTAATTATGTCAGTATTGATGCTGTTTAGGTAACTAAAAGTGAACTCTTCATCATTCAACAGAATTATGGTGCCCACTTTGGCAATGTCTCGGTTGGTGTTTGTGGACCAGTTCATTTGGTGGCAGTAAAGAATAACACTGAGGTTGTCAAGGATATTACCAATAATGTATGGAGTTATAAGGTGGGATTAAATGGTGAGATTGTGAAGCAATACAGTCCAGATAACAAGAAAGGATGGAACTCAAATGCTCTTCCATCTGATAGAGTTTTTGTTTGGTACAAGGTATAATTATTGTTCCCTTTATTTGCTTAAGTCATTTCATGCAATATTATGCTTATTTTCATCTAACATTTGTTTGGTACAAGGTATACTTGTGTTGTGAAATCATATAACACAGGGAGTATTATACTATATATCACGCCATTTCATCTAACATTTGGAAATCTGATTTTGCTGCAGACCATATTCAAGAGTCCTAAGGGAACTGATCCTGTTGTGGTGGATTTGAGAGGGTTAGGAAAGGGTCAAGCATGGGTAAACGGTAACAACATTGGTAGGTATTGGACAAGTTATCTTGCTGATGAGAACGATTGCATTTCCACTTGTGATTACCGAGGAACATATCACCCAAAAAAGTGCATTACAAAGTGTGGAAGACCTTCCCAAAGATGGTAATACCAAAAATTGTGATATGATGTATCAATATCAATGAAATGCATGTTGAACATTTGTTTCTTACTTCCTTTCTAGGTATCATATCCCACGCTCATTCCTTCGTAATGATGATCAAAACACGTTGGTGTTGTTTGAAGAGTTTGGAGGTCACCCCTATGATGTTAAACTTGCCACAGTAACTGTTGACAAAATTTGTGCCAATGCTTATGAAGGACACGTGTTGGAATTAGCATGCAGTGAGGACCGTGTCATCTCTGATATCAAATTTGCCAGCTTTGGTGTGCCAAAGGGTGAATGTGGATCCTTTGAGAAAGGCCAATGTGAATCTCCTACTGCTTTATCTGTCCTCAGAAGGGTAATTTACTAATATGGTCATTTTCTTCAAATTTCTATGGTAGAGGGAAAAGAAGTTAAGGAAAATATAACTAATGTTTGGACTTCTTTGTTTCTTTGGCAGAGATGTCTTGGCAAACAAGGTTGCTCTGTTGAGGTTTCGGAAAGAATGCTTGGACCTTCTGGATGCAGAGTGCCACAGAATAGGCTTGCTGTAGAGGCAGTTTGTGACATAACTACTAACAAGTAGATTTTAGTGTATTGGAATATCTTTAGGACTTTCGGTAATAAATAATAGTTATCTTTTCACCTCTTAGATATAGTAATGTTTTGAATGGAGTTGATAAATAAAATATTATTTCAATATTGGATGCTTTTATTCTTCCTATTTTAATTATCATAATTAATGTTTTGTCGGTACTTGCATGAAACGCAGGGCTTAACCATTAAAAGTACGAGAATATCAATATTGAAAAGTGTTTTACAATTGTTCTTTCACTAAAAATTTGGTAATACAATGTACATATACATGTGATTAAATTCAACATAATGAGAAGGTGAAATATCTTTTTTATTTATTTATATTCTATTTATAATATAAAATTCAAATTACTCTGTATTATATCATCAACTTAAAATATTTTCAAAATATTTATATTAACAAATATGTTTCCGTACGTGTCATTTGTATATTATACTATCACTCTTATTTTAATAATCACAAATTCTATGTCTCTATAACTACAAATCTTAATGTCTATAACTCTATATTCATTATTCCATACAAACCAATATCAGCAATCATGCAACTAATGACGGATCCAGAAATTTTATATAGTGAGAGTAATACTTATTCATATATTTATAATATTAAAAATTTTATATATAACTTTTAAAAATATAAATATATATCATAATTATTTTTACAAGCTTTTATATATACGATTACGATTAGGAATGAAAATAAATTACGTCGGCCTAGGTTATATTATAAGTTAATATGTTTCAATATAACTTTCTTTAAGAATACATGTCCTAAATATGACTTATTTATCTGTTATAGATATTTTTTTAAATGTTTGATTAAAACTATATCCTAAAGACCTAATTTATAATAATTTAACACTAATAAAAATATAAAATAAATATGTTAAATTGTATAAAAATTAAGTTTAATTTATTTATGATATAAACATGTTTTGAATATCTAATATAAATTTTTAGTTGACAATTTATTTTAAAATATATTTTATAATAAAAATTCTAAATAAAACATAAATCTTTCAATCTTTCTTATTTTGATTTTTTATAATTAATGTATACAATCTTACCATTTTTACTATTTTAATTTTTTTAATCAAAATATATAATAATTAGAAAGTATAAAAAATAAATATGCATGCTGTAAATTTTATTTTATCAAAAATTAAAATTTTTAATATATTACATGTGAGCATTAATATATATATATATATATATATATTATAATTATCAACCAAATATAAAATAAATAAAAAT